TTCATGGTGTGATTAATAGGACGGACGCAAGGACGGGGTTGAGTGGTGGTATTGAAAGAGTGGAAAGCTTTGTTTACTTAGGGGATAAGCTGAATGCGGATGGAGGATGTTTGAGCGCAGTTACGGCTAGAGTTCGTGTGGGATGGATGAAATTTAGGGAACTGGGTGGGGTATTGTGTGGAAAGAAATGGTCAGTGAAGATGAAAGGGAGGGTATATAAAGCATGTGTGAGAGCAGCGATGGTATATGGTGGTGAAACTTGGGTGTTGAGGAGAGAGGAGGAAAGTGTACTGCAGAGGGCTGAAAGAGCTATGGTGAGGATGATGTGTGGGGTTAAAGTGAAGGATAGGAGGAGTAGTACAGAGCTGATGTCAATGATGGGACTGAATGAGGACATTGTGACATTGATAAGGAGATCGAGATTGCGGTGGTATGGACATGTGTTGAGAAGGGATGAAAGGGTCGGGATTAGGCGAGCGTTGGAGTTCGAGGTTGAAGGAGTGGTAGGAAGGGGTCGTCCGCGATTGGGATGGAGAGAGCAGGTGGAGAATGACAGGGTGAAAGCGGGGTTGCGTGATACTGAGGCGAGTGACAGATGTGGATGGCGTCGAGGGGTATTTCGGTTTCATCATAGGTAGCCAAACGGCAACCCCCGATCTCGGGGAAAATGCCGTCTAAACGTGTGTTGTGTTGTTAGAAAATGTATGCAACCTTTCTTTGTTTATTACACAACTATAAACAAATTTCACTAAATAAAGAGAGGCTTTGGTCTTCAGCCCCGGGTAGACCTTGGTTGAGATCATCTTCTTGTCTTATTCATCCAATCATTTTCTTATGCTATCAACCCCTCAAGCCAATTATTCAATTTTATTTTACTTTAAATTTAAAACATAATTTGACCTCTTTAAACTGCCTGGTTTAAAATTTTAATTACGACTAGAGATCCATTTTCACATTGTTTGATAACTTTTTGAATGCTCTGTAGAAGAATATGTACTGTATTAAAGTATAGACCTACAGCTATTGTTGAAACTTCACCATTTCAAAATCCAAAACACCAACTACAGATAAAAAACTAGATAAAGTGCACAACCCTCATGACGGATATTTCGAAAATGCGAAATCATAACTTGATATAACTGAAACACAAAATTATTCAATCTAAATTACACATTAATCTGGCGATCCTCATCCTCACGTTCCACACTCATTTTTATGAGCAAATGCCATATGGCCATGTATTGTATTTGTCGCTTTAGTGAAGCGATAAGACGTGGAACAAAGGTTGATTCATACAAATATACCTTCTACCCGAATCAATGATTTATTTGCAACAAAAAACAATTGATTACAAAATGGCGAGCTATCCTAAAACGCAAATTCTACAATATTCAACAGCGGTTCCAATCTTTTTTAGATACCTAATTTTTATTCCATTTTTATTATAATACCAACTTCTAAACTAAAATCTGTTTCTCAGCTAATGATAGCATGCAACAAAAACATTTATAAAACTCAAAAAATCAAACAAAAGCAAAAAATGAAACATTTTTTTCCAAACATCGAAAGTGACTCACAGCTGACCTGACAGGATGGTGAAGTTTTAATGACATGATGCTACTGCGAGTCTACATAATCTTTTCTTATCGATCAAAGAGTGCATTTTAATTTTTAATTTCACAGTGTAATCAATTGACTGTGGTGTGAACCGACCCTTTCTGGCACATGCAAAACTTTCTAACTATCAGAAATTTATGAAAACCCTATTTTTGAAATGTAGCATAACATTAAAAAATATCTTTTCTAACTGTTTTATAAAGCCAGGAGTTAATATCAAAATGAAACAATGAAACTCAATTTTTAAAAAAATTAATAAGATCACCTGTTTTCCAGGATTATGCAATTCACATTCGGCCATCCAAGAAATTATATTATCAAAAGTAGATTTTCTAGTGATGTCGTAAACATAAATAACTGCATGTACATTTCGATAATAATGTGGCACCATGCTTTTTCGAAACCTCTCCTGGCCAGCCGTGTCCCATATTTGAATCTTACAACAAAATTGTAAAGCAATTTAATGATTCAACTTACATATAGATATTTATAATGATCTTATAAGTTCTTTTACGTTTTAAAGAAATATAGCTCAATAGAGGCGCTTTACAAATCTACAATGCATTTAAAAAAATTGTTAACTGATACATTTTTATGTTTCAAAAACCAAATTATAAAGATAGTGGGTTTTTTCGATAAGTTGTAAGCAGTCATTTGGAAAAACTAAAAAGTTAGAAGGACGTAGAGCTACATAAGCAATAACATTAATAAAGCATTGAAAAATGTGAGGCCAAAATCATTTCACAGTATTAATGAAATCCAATTTTATTAGGATTTAATTTAAAATTCTAGAAGATATTTTGTTCTCATTACTTTAGTTTAAAAAAAAATCAGAAATATATCAACTACAGTACAAGTATCATAGCACTTAACATTAGTGCAAGTACCATGGCACGTAATATTAGTGCAACTGTCAGCACTGAACTTCAGCATAAGTACCATCAGTGCTAGCATAGTAGTCCATAAAACATAATCATATGAGACAAAATGCATAATTACAAAAAAATAAGCAAAATTACTTTAATGCATTCATTGGCTACTTGGACATTTTTTTCTCTGAAATCCAATCCAACTGTACTTTCAGGGTTTTCAGGAAACTTGCCATGACAAAATTTGGAGGTGAGACATGTTTTTCCAACAGCTGAGTCTCCAAGAATAATGATCTTATAAGTTCTTTTACGTTTTAAAGGTGATTCAAACTTTATTGAAACAAATCCTGAATCTAATGCTGAACCTGGCTCAAAAGATTCAGTGGGATTTAAATGAAGTTTTGATGGCAATAATTGAGACATTGCAAACTTGAAAATCTGTGAAGTTTATAAATGTTATTTAATTTTAATGAAGTGAAACTGTTCAGTTGAAAATCAAAAACAAACTATCATTGTTGTCAAATAAATATTAATTTTAATTTGTTTCATTACAACAATATTCAAAAATTTTGCAAGAGTCACATTTATATTTCTGAAAAGAGTTTTGGCTCAGCAACGACACAAGTAGAATTGACGAGTTTCACAGTCACAATTCAAAAAATTATTTAAAAAGATAGAACAAAATTAAAAAACAATAATTAAAACAATTTAAAATTTTAAAAACAAATAAAAAACGTATAAACCTATGAACAGAACAGCCTTATGTAAAGTACTTGAAGATGAAAGCCAATGTGTATAATCAATAAGCTCTTTTATTAAATCTTCTAGTAATCTGTTGTCTTGTTCATTTGTAAAAAATAGCTCCAGCAAAATTGAATCAAAACAAAAGTAAACTTTAATGCATTTTATTTTCTGAACTTCAATCATTCAATGCTATAAAAATGCAAATTTAATTAAAATTATTTTAAAACGAATTTATTTCAAAAGTTATTCAGATTTACAAAAATATAAAACAATAATTCAGTAATGTCAGAACAAATCAAAAAAGAAATAAATATATCTATGCCAACTAATTCATAGTGATAAAATATTTTACAGGAAATAGCAGACCGACTAGTTTAGTCTTACTTGTGATTTTTAAGCACTAATAGAAGTAATTAATTAATGGAAGAAAAATAAACACTAGCTACTAAACTTAAGAAAGCAAATTAGCGTGATAAGTAATTTAAGAGTAACATTGGCATACAAATGCCAACAACAAAAATTGCGATCAAGCAAAATTAGTAAAAAAATTAATTTGTCGTGGCAAAACCAGAGATCTGCCTTTGCTGTTGGGTGTTGTTAATGCTGTTACTTAATTACTCTAACTAAACAACCATCTAACCATAACTAACCCTAACTCTGAATTTTGTTTTCTTGTGAAATATAAAGTTTTAAATAAATAATTAAATGTAAAAAAATTATTAAACAAGATTTGATTCAAATTAAAACTTTCAATCATAGTTATGGTTTCAATAAATTTTGGCTTATAGTTGTTCTTTAATTTAATTAATTCAAATTTTTGTATAAGCATGTCTTGTGTTCATCAAATTAAATAGCATAGATAACACAATTATAAAAATAAAAAAAAATTGTCTTCCTAAATTCAACAATCATTCCCTGACACTAACCAACCCACAATTTTTTATACAAAATATCATTATAAACCTAATTAAAATTATTTTTTATTTCATAAAAAAATTTTATTTACAAAACTTCTATCTCTCTAAAATAGCTTTTAATTAATTAAATTAATTTAAAACAAAAACCAAATTTTCCATAGCAACTTGCATTCAGTTTTTCACAAGTAAAAAAAATAAGTTATTGCCAATACTCACAAGTTAAGTAAGATTTTCATTTTATGTTTAAGACTAATTCACTGTTTAATTTAATTAATTATTAAATTAACAAAAAACAAAATAACATTATAATATCAATTTAATTATAAATTTAAAAACTGATGCAACTTTGACTTTGCCCACCTAATTAATTCTTGCATCATATAGCAATTTCTAATTCTGGTCGCAATGTAGAAACAATTGAATGATACCTCCAACCCAACGATGATAAATAAATAATGCTTTGTTAACCTGACACCGCTAGTGTCAGTGTTATAGGTAGTGTTATTCTACGTATATAGAATATAGAATAGATAGACGACAAACACAAAGTATGAACTCATTTTAATTTACGTCGGCTAAATCAGACAAATTTAAAAGTTTGCAATGGAACACTCGCAAAACTGTATGGAAAACCAAACACTATATAAATAACCCTATTGTGTCTCTTTTTTATACGCCCTACTGGAAAGAAGAGATGCAATAACTTTGTGCATTCATTATATTTGATGCTATGGGACTCCAGCGGGTGATCCTTCACATTGTTAAAATAGTGTAATGATGTAACCTATACCAGGTCAATGTTCGTTCAGATCAAACGCTTTACGTCATATCCCGTGCAATTAAAGGAGTGTAGACGATCGATGATCTACCCTCTCAGAGAATACACTAGACACTAGTTTCAAAAATTTTGATCGCATGACCGATTATATCAAAAAGTTAAAAAAGCTAAAAGGTCTATTAGTCTTTCAAGGTTCAGTTCATAGGAAAAATGAGATTTTATTCTTAATGTATGAATTCAGTTCATCTACACTTAATAGCAGCCAAATTGAAACAACAGCTGACAACCCAATAAACTGATCGAAACGTGTTAAGTGAGGAAATCATCAAAATTTTTGCTATGCACCTGACAAACTATCGACTAATTTTAATGACAAATTACATGAATTTTCGAGATTTTGAAAAATGGCTCTCAACCTTGGTTTCCCGTTTACACAATACCCTCAAGTTTTGACTTTGTTAAGTGAAGACACACCATTAACTTAGGAATTAAGTTATTTTAACAAGACAAAAAAAATTATATCATCACAGGTATTTGATAAGTAGCACATTTAATTTAATTTTTCGCGATAGCAGGTAAAACCAACTGGAAGCCGTAACTTCACCGAAAAATTACCCTAATCAACTTGAATCAGTTAAGTAACTTTTCGTTGTGAATCAGCAAAGAAAAATCAAACGCGCCGAAAAATCAATCAAAACCCAATCAATTAGACATAAAGTCAATTTTACTAAACAGACGTCTCAACCGTCATTAAAAACATTATGTAACGTTATTATTATTACTATTATAATCGTAAAAATAATATATATATATACATACACACATATATGTTACAGTCAAGTTCTTATACATGAGTTCAAGTTTTTATATATTAGTCATCAAATGTTATTTTTTTTCCCTTGAACTCATCAATTGTTCCTTTGTTTTTCTTTTTTGCATCGGAGTCAGAATTAAATCCTCCTCGGCCTCCTCTGCCGCCTCTCCCACCTGCATGAATGATGATATATATTTTTAAAAAATAATATAAAACAATGGAAATTTATCATGTTGTTTGATCAACTGATCAGAATTCTAATAAGGAAGCAATTGTGACACAATTGTGGCGAAATGACATGTACACTTTTGAGGTAAAGTTTTATATTTAAATTCAATCCAGTCAAAATGTGTCATTAAAAAAATTTAGTGAATATTTTTATAAATAAACATTTTGCTTTAATAAAAAATATTAATGAAAAAACAAGGTATGTTCTTTTATTTGTTTGATTGAAGAATGTACACAATCGAAAAATTAAGCAAAATGCATTTAGCATAATTTGCAAAATCGTAGATAAAAAGAAAGTTATAAAAAACTCACCTCTGCCACCTCCTCGGCCTCTGTTGTCAAATCCTCCTCTTCCACGACCTCCCCCACGACCTCCACGATCAAATCCTCCTCCTCCTCTGCCTCCTCTACCTGTGAACAATTCAATGTAAACTTTAATACACCTCATCAATATAAAAACAAAACTAGGAATAAACATCCACCTCTATATAAAAGCAATTAAAAGTTATTGAAATTAATAAATACCTCTGGGCCCACCTCCTCGACCACCGCCAGAACTATTGGCACCAACTCTGTCCAATTTGATATTTCTACCATTCAAATCAGCTTCTCTGAACTCTTCTAGAGCTTTCACTGCTTCAGCTTCAGTGTTGAACTCAACAAATGCAAATCTGTAGTTCATGAAAGTAATTCCATTAAAACAGAAAACTAAATGGAAGTTGGGAAAGTTTTATTAATATGACAATAAAAAATATCATACCCCTTAATTTTTCCATCATCATTTCTAGGTAGTCTTACACTGCTGCATCCAAAAAATTCCCCGATAGTATCTTCGTCAGTTCCCCATGCCAAGTTGCCAACAAACAACGTCCTACTATCTCTTTCTTCTGTAGTTGTAATAATGAAAAAAATTTAGGAAATAGTTCAAGTGTAAATAAATGTACAAAATATCTACCTTTGTCCCCACCACCCCAACTTTTTCTGTCGTTGGACTGGCCCTCTTTGGGTGCATTACGACTGCGAGCCAACTCAACAGTAATGGTTGCACCTTTGAATTCAGCTCCACTGTGCTTGGCTGCCTCAGATTCTGTCATTTCAGAGTCCATGGTTAGAAAGCCACATGTTCTGTTGGTTAGATAACATGCAAAGATCAATCAAACAATGTATAATTATATTGCTTAAAACGTGTGGCATCGTATAAATAATGTAGGTGAGTCATGGAGTTGCACAGAACTGTATCAAAAGTTGTGAGCAACAACGAAACTCATCTGTTTGTTACATTATATCCCTGGGGTTTACAACAACAAATTTCATCATTGTTACAAATATGTTGTGAAATGCCCAGGTTTCTATATTATTCTATATACTGCTGAAAATAGAAGCAGTCAAATTTCAAAACGGCAATGCATAGAAGTTATGATTAAAAATTAACTTTAAGAATAATTAACCTAGTGACTAAAAAATATATAATAAAACAGCCAGATAACACTTAACAAAATTATTAATCTATATTACAAAACATTTGATTTACATTTTAACTATAATAAACTTCATATTTATTTAAATGATGAACCCAATGATCAAAAAAATTAATAATTATTTAGCTTTTTAATGCTAAGCTTCTATATTCAATTATCTTACTGTATGATTTGTTTTATCATAAGTTTTGCAAAGTTTACATAGTAAGAGAGCACTGCGCAGTAACATAATGGGAACTACGGGGGCAGAAACTGTTTCATTGTTGCAATACCTGTACTGCATTGCTCTGGAACAACTGAAGCTGCCATTCACGCGCATATACATGTGCATGGTGCAGGTGGCATCTCTTCGGAGTTGTACAAATCAGTGATATACTCCTTATTGATGCATAATGCAGAGAAGTGGTCATTAACAACAAGGCTCCAGCAGCAACTTCACCGCACAGATATGATGGACCAAATGAAAACGACCAAAATCCTAAACCATGCAGGATTATGTGCTTAAAAGGGGCATGACGACATCATGGTCTACGTTGGTTTGGTCATGTCAAGCAAAGCAAAGATGGGACAATAATCTCGGTCACGAATCCTCAGGTCCCCCAAAGAAGTTCTGGATGCAAACAATACAGGAAGACTTGAAGGCACTAAATCTTAGGGAGGCTTGGAGACAGAAATTTATATCAGGGTAACAAAAGTCCAACCCAAAATGGATTGTTTTTTGGAAATATAATTATTAATATACCTAGTTACTTAAATACTCACAAAATGACACTGGGCAAAAAATTAGCCACTTACTTGTTCTTTCCAACCAATCTGACAGACGTTATTGTGATGCCAGACTTCTTGAAGAATTTTATGACGGCCTTGTCATCAACACCTTCTGGCAAATCTTTAACAAATAACTCCAATCCTGATTGTAAAGTTTGTAAAAAAATGTTAAGAAAAAACAATTTTCAACATATAATAGAAAAAACAACAACAAACCTGTTCTTTCATCAGCACCTCCAGAAATTTTAGCTTTTTTTCCTGGACGATCAGCTTCTTTAGTTTCATTTTTTCTCTTCTTTCCTGGTTTGGCTTCTTGCTTCTTCTCATTCTCATCACTTTCTTCTTCTTCTTCATCACTTTCTTCCTCTTCCTCCTCATCTTCTTCACTGTCATCTTCATCCTTCTTAACTTCCTTTTGACTTTTAGTTGTTTGCTTTTTGTCAGCTTCTTCATCTTCACTCTCATCTTCCTCATCGTCGTCACCATCTTCGTCGTCATCGTCATCATCATCATTAGCTGATGCAGCAGCGACTACTTGTTTATTAGCAGTTGAAGCATTATTTTTGGATGGCATCTTTTCTTCTTCATCATCTTCGTCATCATCCTCTTCATCGTCACTTTCGTCATCTTCATCATCATCATCATCCTCGTCTTTGTTATTCTTTTCTGCTTTCTGTCAAAAATAGGAAAATCAGATATTATAAAAATATTTTGATTTATATAAGAGTAAAATGGATTGAAAAAATCTAATCAACTGTACATTTTTATTTTTGTTTGGCAATTTAGTTTCTTCTTCTTCACTTTCATCTGAATCGTCAGAATCTGAATCATCTGCTACTGGGTCAGCTTTTTTCATCTGTATTGAATGTTATTGATAAAATTCAGTTCATAATTTTAATTAACTATACCAAACATAAACATAGAATTTTTCATTTTTCTGCTTTTGAAAAATAAAATATAATGATAAATCTTGAGAACGATAATTCATAATTTTAATTGTACAAAAGTATTAAAATTTGTAAACTGTTTACATTAAAAAGTTTTCATTTCAAGTCTAAGCAATAACATAGAAAAAATTATGCAGAAAATTTTTTATACTGATTCTCATGATATATTTATGACATGCATTGTTTTACTTCAGAAAAGCATCACATTTTTAAAACATTTTTTCCAATGTTAAATGGTGTGAGTCTGCTTGAAACCAAATTCGAGTCAATAGCTCAAAAGTCCAAGCTGATCTAAGCCAATGGACATCAATTAACATTGAGTGATATGATTAAAATGTATAATGAAAAATTTATTTGAAATAAAAAGAAATCAGAACCTGTAAAGTGTAATTTATTATAAATGTATAATAACGGTATAAAAATCTAACCGGCTGTGCATTGGAATTTTTGTTGGCCGGTTTAGTTTGTACTACTTCATTCTCGCTACTTTCATCTGAATCATCAGAATCTGAATTATTTATTACAGGTTCTGCTTTTTTCATCTGTAGATGTTAATAAAAAAAATTTAGTTCTTAATTTTCATCAACTGTAATCAGATGTCAACTTAGGACTATTTAGTATTATAGCACTAAGAGTATGAACACAATTTATAAATCTATATAGTTCATAAACATATACATATAGTGGTGTTAGCTATATTACTTATTTCAGCTTAAGGTTTTAGCAAAAAATTCCAAGTGAAGCTAATTTTAGCTAAAAACATATCATTGATTTTATTTATTCAAGCTTACTAAAATTTAAATAACTGATATGTTTTTATTAATCATTGTTAAAAATTGTAATAAAATAAAATTATAAAGTAGCAGGTCGCACAACGTTAAAAAATGCGATAGCGCGCGCACTCAACTTCACCGCGTTTTCCTGAAAGTGATTTAACCCACCAATGCATAGTGGGTCTTTTTAGGAACAGCTCTTTTAAATTCATTATCAAATTAGTCTGTCTTATTTGAGTTTTTTTTTACAGCACATCTCTATAAATCACCCATCTTCACTATTTTGTTTACCTTTTTGTTTCATCAGAAAATTTGTTGAAGTTTTTTATGTTTAAAGTCAGCGATACTGAAAATTTCGATTTTTTGACATGTCTAATCAAAAAAGGTAATAAACAATTTTGATTAAATTTTTTCCTGAAACTTTTAAAAATTTTAAATTGCATTATTATTTATTTAGTTAATTACGTGAAATTGATGATAGAACATCTTGTAGTTTTTTTATAAACACTAAAATTATGACTGTTCCTTTTTCGGGACACTATGCAGTGCATTGAATGGTAAATTTACTAATTACAGATATTCACTCCATGATGTTGTTAGCATGTTAGAAGATGAAAAAGATTTTTTTTCAGCAGATATCATTATGCTACCACCTGATGATCCCAACTGTTCAGATCAAGATAGTGGTCCTGAGGATGGGGAAGGAATTATTGACAATTTATCAAAAACTTTATTGAATTCAAATGCTGAAGCATTAATTTCCAACATTGAGGCAGGCAAAGAAATGCTTCAGAAAGAAGAAATTGATATGCAAATACAAACACCATTAAAAAAAAGAGTGAAAAAAAGTATATCAATTGAAAGAAATTGGAAGAAGAGTGACATTTTGAATGTAGAACCCATACCAGTGTTTTCTGAAAATAGAGAATTTGAGAATTCATCTCCTCACACTCTGTTTAAATTATTTTTTGATGATGAAATAATCAAATTCATCACTGACATGTCTAATTTATATGCTAGTCAGAAGTTGAAGCAGTTGAATGCCACTGAAGAAGAATATAAAGTGACATTAGCGGTTTTGCTCTTATCGGGTTATGCTCCTCTGCCAAATCGACGAATGTATTGGGAACAAAGCAATGATGTTCATAATTTAGCAGTGAGTAATGCCATCAGTGTGAATAGGTTCGAGGAACTTCTCAGATATTTACACACATGCGATAACGAAAAAATTGACAAAAAAGATAAAATTGCCAAAGTTCGACCTCTGTTTAATATGTTAAATGAAAGATTTTTAAAATATTGGCCAGAAGAAACTTGTTTATCAATTGACGAGTCCATGATACCATATTTTGGTAGGCATTCCTCTAAGCAATTTATAAGAGGTAAACCTATCCGATTCGGATTCAAAATTTGCATGAATATCGTCTCGGTTATTTAGTGAGTTGTGAACCCTATCAAGGAGCCACTGAAGATTATGATCCAGATTTAGGACTCGGTGGATCAGTAGTTAAAAAACTGACATCATGCCTTCCTGATGATAAGAGATATCATTTATTTTTTGACAATTTTTTCACTTCGTTCAAATTAATTGAACGACTAAAAGAAAATCATATTTATGCAACCGGTACAGTTAGAATTAACCGAATAGAGAAATGTCCATTGATGGATATAAAAGAAATGAAAAAATTACCTAGAGGCACATCTGACTATTTTACAGATAGTGATTCGAATATTATTGCGGTTAGATGGAATGACAATAGTGTGGTTTCTATCTTGTCAAGCTGCAATGGGCTGGAACCAATGAAGGAAGTGAAAAGATGGTCTTCAGCAAACAAGAAGCATGTTTTAATATCCCAGCCATATATAATAAATCAATATAATAAATATATGGGTGGAACTGACAGGATGGATCAAAACATTGAAAATTTGCGCACCAATATTCGGATTAAAAAATGGTGGTGGCCGCTTTTTGCTTTTGCTTTGGATTCTAGCATTCATAATGCTTGGTGCATTTCCAAAAAATACTCAAAGCATGAAAATCACACTTATGCTGGGTTCAGGAGAAGTGTTGCCAAAACTATATTTGGGCAAAACCAACTAGAAGATCTGAAAAGAAAATCAGTAAACCATAACGTTGAAAATGAAATAAAATTTGATGGAAAAGACCATTTCATTGGAAAAATTTCGGATGGACGAAAAAGATGTAAATTGTGCCACAAGAAAGTATCAAAGAAATGTTTAAAATGTGATGTTGCCCTACACTTGGAATGCTTTGAACATTTTCACAGGAAATGATTTACCATGAGTATTAACTCATAACATACCTTTTTAGGAACACTTTGTTTTTTGATCATAACTTACTTTATTTTTTTTAAATTTTATTTTAATTGGCTTTTTTGATGTTTTGAAACTATGCTAAATAAAATATTTCAAAATCACAAAAAAATTTTAAGTCATGCATTGGAGGGTTAACATTACTATCGCAAACTCGCGTTTTCGTCGTCGTTATTTTTGTTTATTTTTCGAAAATGCGCCCATCTATATAATTTTCGGTTGTTATGAGCGATAAAAGAAATATGTATTATTATAAAAATATTTTTTCTTTGTTGTTGTGAGTCATATTTGCAGCAGACTAATAGAGGTTGGTGTATTTTATATTTTTTTAAAAACTTAGTAAAACATGAGTAAAAATGACAATTTTAAAGAAATATGATAATTAACCATTTATTAACATTATGTAAAAATATTTTTGAAATTAGAGTAGAAGCAGAATATTTTTTTGATTTTTTTCCGTATGCACCATGCGGTCACGAAAATGCATTGTATTGGTTGTGTTTTTTCATCAGAATGTTCATAACTACTAAGTTTCATAGATGAAAACGACAATTTTAAAGAAATATGATCATTAATCATTTATTAACATTCTGTAAAAATATTTTTGAAATTAGAGTAGAAGCAGAATATTTTTTTGATTTTTTTATAGTATGCACCACGTGGTCACGAAAATCAAAGTGCGTTGTGTTGTATTGGTAGTTTTTTCATCAATCGTAGCTGCTAAGTTTCACAAGCAATGACAACAATTTTAAAGAAATGCAATAAATAACCACTTATTAACATTCTGTAAAAATATTTTTAAAATTTTTAATTTTTTTCCATGACTCCACAAGTCCACACGGTCAAACAAAAATGCATTGAAAATTGGTTGTCTGTGTTTTTTGAATAGAATAGTCATAACTATTAAGTTTCCTGCTTGATATTAATTATATTTATGAAGTGTGATAAATTGTTTTATAATTATTTGTCCTGTATTAAAAATAAATGATGCATAATAAAATGAATTTATTGTTTTACAGATATTTCTATTCGATTTGCAAATCTTTTCAAAATCATTATGCAATCTCAAGCTTTGAGGGATTTTGTAAATGAAAAGTATTCAAGATGTGTAATATGATTATTATTATTAAGTTTTATAATCATATAATGAAATATAATAATTATGATAATAATATAATAATCAATATATCATAATAATATAATAATCATATAATAATAATATATAATTATAAATGAATTATATTTAAATATAAATTATAATATATTATATAATATAAAATTATAAATACCATTACAATATGATTATGATTATTAAATTTTAATTTATATTTAATATATATAAATTATGGATATATATAATTATTTTATAATTATAATTAATCATTTATAATTAAATTTTATTATAAATATAAATTATTCATAATTATTATTTTCTTATTTTACAGCTGTTATAAAAACAAGAAAAAAAAATTGTGTTGTGTTTAATTTTAAATCGTTCTTTTCACGTCTTGTGCGCGAATATAATGCTCAATGCTCATTTAACATTGAGCGCCACTCTTAACATGGCGCAAGTTGAAAGTAAAAATAATTCTTTCAAAATTCGTTTTCTCTGTAACTATAAATGCTACAATAATAAATTTGGTATTATTTTAATCAGCAAATTTTGCTTTATATGAAAAAGTAGTTTATATACAAAAAAAAAAAATTGAAAAATCGTGCAACCTGCTATTATAAAGTTTTACAATTTAATATTTAATAATAACTAGAACAAGAATAAATACAAAAAGTCGATTGCAAACTGCTTTTTGTAGTGCATTCACGAGACTACCAAAATATGAAAATATCACTGAATCAAGCTGATCAAGTAAACGAATTACTTTAATTATAACATGAAAGAATATCTCAGAATGTCCTCGTATTAAAAAACACATTGTGATACTCCTAGCAGCAAATTGAATAGCTGAACTGTACACATGTTAAACTCTTTGATTATCAATTAATCCCTCACTCTATTGATAGAAAATTTTGATGAGGATTAAGGATTAGGATCATTTAACATTAAAAATAGTATAAACATGAAAAGAATCAAATGCCAACCAAAAAAATAAAATTTGAATGTAATTGTATTAGTCAAAATTTTGGCCAATCCTTTTTCACAAACGCTAATGGCTATTAATCAGACACAAAATAACACATAATAGTTCGTAGATAGATGATACATAATAAGACAAACTTAAAGAAATGTGCATAACCACGTGTTACAAAAATAATAAAATCAATTACAAACACAAAAACTTACTTTTTTCTTGGATATTTCGGAAGGCATTTTCGATCAGAATTCTTTAAAGCCGCAAAACGATCAAATTTCTAAAACAATTAACGACAGATAAGTTGAAATTAATCAAAAATCGAACGAGAAGCAAGCTGAAATCTAGCGAGGCGGCACGACGTAAATTATTCAGAAAGGAAGAGCTTGTTGAAATTTTCGTAATGGTAAATATACAAAGATAACAAAATATGAAAAGCCAACTTCAAAAAATGTTAAGATATTAATTTATTTAAAAAAATTATTTGTGATGCAAATTGAATTAATGTAAAAAATGTTTTTTAAATGTTATAACTAAAAACAAAACGTTTTTAAATTTTAAAACAATAAAAACGTGAATAACATGCAAACGTAATTTTCAACAAGATAACAAGATATGGAGATATATGAGAAAAGAAAGGGGCTCGGGCAACTAGACAAGCAGCAGAGTTAAAAGCTTTACTTAAAGGATAGAGTATAGATTCTAATTATATGGATAGAACTATAGCTTATAATTCTATGGATTTGTTCGAGCTATGAGCAAATAACCTTTCTATCGCTTTTATCGAGCTATCGAGCAATTGCTGTAATTTTTGCTGTATATTTATATTTTCCTGTGATTATGTATATATATATATATATATATATATATATATATATATATAGGGTTAGTAATGGAAAAGTAGCCAGAGAAGTAGGGAAGTAGGTAGAGAGTTCCAGAGAAAAGAGCCAGAAAAAGCAAAAGCAGATTTGGCAAAAGAGTTTTTTATTATACGTAGATGAAAATAAGAGCTTCTAGCAGCACTATTAATCTGAAAGGAAAGAGACATACTAGAATCAAAGATAAAGCCTAAACTACGAAACTTGTGACATCAAGAGTTTTAGAATCAGGTAAGATATTAAAACAAATTAATTCAAATATAGAAGGATTAAGTTTAAGACACATAAAGTTAGACCCAGCAATAATTGAAGAAAGACATAGAGATAGATTATGAAGAACACTATTGAGATTAGATGGAGGAAAAGAAGTATAAATATAAGAATCATCAGCATATAGTTGACTAGAGAAAGAAAAGTTATTAATAATACGAGGTAGTTTAGAGGTATAAAGTATAAATAGAAGAGGGCCAAGAATAGAACCCTGAGGTACCCCGAAAGTAAGAGTAGAGAAGTTAGAAGTAGAATTATTGAGAACAACAGAAGAAAAACGGTTACACGGCTATAATCAATTTAAAGTTTGTCTTTGCAATTTTCCTTACTAAAATTTTCTGTAAACTGTTTTATTTTCGATTTTTTAACAATTTTTCTAAACAGGAAGCTAACTAGCGCGGACATGCTTGATTTTCATCAATAATTATATTTCTGACAGTCTTAATCTAATATATATATGTGCAATATGCAAGAATGCAATAACAATAAGCTTTTCGTAGGCAGTTTCATAAACAACTGTAAGAAAGAATATACTTATTTAAGATTTGGCCTGGATCATGGTTGGATCAGAGCAATAGTGGCGATATTTACAGTGAATTCGACTCTTTCTTGAGAAGTTATTGAAAGCACTTTTAAAAAGTGGAACATTAACAAACAAATCTGGCTAATTGGAGATTAATAAAAAGAAAAAACGAATATAACATTTGAAAAGAATTTGATAAAACTTTCACTTTCACTACCTGCCAAGCAAAAATCGGCATATACCTTAAAAATTCGTATTCATTTAAGTACAAGCTGATAAGTTCAATTTAAGTTTTATGAGGTGTTGTAATCACCTGATAGATAAATCTTTTCAAAATGACCTAGAATAGCTGAATGAATCATACACCTCAATTTTTTATCATTTGTTACTACGCGTGTGTAGATATAGAAAACTAAAAAAATAGTTTAGTCATATTCCCAATTCCTAACCCAGACTTTAAGATCATGAATGTAATCATTAATGACACCAAACCATCGATCAAAACTGGATTTTTTGCCGAAACCGCAGCCAAAACTTCAGCCTTTATCTCAGTTTCGACCGTAACCAAAACTAATTTTTATACAGTATTAAATTTTCGATTAAACAACTGAAATAAACATAATATAGAGAATTTCAATATCATTCAAATTTTCATCGACATCTTCCACTTAACTATTACTGGTTTAAGTATTAAATATTAATTAAGTTGTTTGTTTCGAAAATTTTAATCGACAGTTACGCAAAAAAATCCTCAATGATTTTAAACTAAAGCCGTTTTTTGGGCTAAGAAAATTTTTTTTCAAATCCAAGTGTATTTTTCTTAATTGACCTCATAGTTTTAACACTTCACCACGTGATTTTGATACGTCACACGTGATTTCAACGGTTTCAACAATCAGAATTGATTTTTCCGAAATGACTAATCAATTCCACTCACCAAGTAGTAACATGGTTTAAACACGTGGTTACATGGTTTAAACACGAGGTAACATGGTTTCGACACTCGTCGACGTGGCTTTAGCATGTTGTGAGGAACATGAACATACATACACATATGTTTATAATAATAATAATGTCGTTTGTGCATCGCCATGCGCATAGCGTCAGAGGCGTCCGGATATACAAATGTCAGCACGGCCACCAAAGGCCTGTTCGAACAGATGCTGTTTCAATAGCTTTTTAAACATTTCAATTGATGATTGTTGATGGATGATGAACAGCAAACTGTTCCAGAAAAGCCTTTATTGATATTCTTAATAAATAAATAAACAATTGTTACTATCATAAAGCAATTTTATTAAAAAGTATTGATTAAAAGGATTAAACAAGATCCATAATTCGTGAAAAGATGAAAAAATCCAAATAAGATTAGTCAATAAAATTTTTAACACAACACGTTTCAACTTTACATATTAATGACACAAAATGTTTAAAAGCGTTCAAAATAATTCATGTTCAGAGTTAAATTATTTTTAGAAATTATTCAATTAGACAGATTCATAGCCAGTTCTTCTTGTTCTGCGACTGATGAGATAAGCAATGAGGACGATGATGATCAGAGCAATCAGCACTGATCCAACAATTATTGGAATCAAGGTATTTGAATCACTTGATGCACAATTCTTCACTGTAACAATACAATTTTAGGTGTAGGGTACATCAATTCAATCAACAATTTCTAAAGAATTTTCCAAATAAAATGAAACAATTTATAGATCTTTCTAACGTGTGACAATTTCTAAATTTATTTTACAAAAATTTACATTAGCACTTTGTTACAAAAGAACAACTTGCCTAAATAATGGCTCTTATAAGAAGCAATGAAACTACCAATTAAAACAATAGTTGAATGAAAATAAAATTGTTTATAAAATATAAAATACACCGAAAGAAACTAATAAAAATTAAAAGCAAAAAATTAGTTTATGTGAAAATATAATGAAAATAATGCAAAAAAGTTGTATACCTCCATTAGTGTTAAAATTTAAAGTGGTTATATTATGCCTGAAAGCTTCCAGTTTAATGTTCTTGATAATAGCAGTGATGGTGGTGGTGTTCCAGGCTGGGAGGGTTCCAGATAACTCCAGTCCGGCATCACAAATGTACTCTTGTCCATTCAAATTACCATAATCAGTTACATTTAGAGTCACTGTCGCAAAATTAAATATTAAGATTAAATATTTTTTTGACCTATCAAACAATTTTCTGATTGAAGTTTCAAATAGAAAACACACAACATTTGCACATTTTCTTGAAAAAATGAAAAAATAAGCCAAATCCATTTCGATAAACCTCATATAAATTAAGAAGCATTATAAATCTATGATTGAGTGTGTACAATATGTGCATGCACAAAGGGATAGTAAAGTTATTGGTTGTTTTTAACATTTCAAAATTGAAGCAGTTGCAGACATTAAGAGAGGCAAGCCTATCTCAAATTGGCATAGCAAAATCCAAAGCCTGCAAACTAAAGTTTGAAAATAGGGATGTTAAGAAAATTAAGTGATCTGGCTGGTTGACTGGCGTCTTTATGGCAAAATTTAAAGTTATATAAGACAAATTGGAGTTTGTGTTGGTAGAATTTTGAAAAAATTTTGAAAGGATTTTGAAAATAATGTGACAGAAAAATGGGAGTGAGAATGGAAGAACTAAAGAAAAAGCGCTTGCTGAGAATGAGTCTGGCAGTTTTATTTTGAAAAGAAGGAATAGATCTTGAAAATTATGAATATTAAAATTTAGAAAACAAAAACTCATTTAATAATAATGCAAATTAACATAATACTACATCAACAGAACATTCGTTCAGAAAAGAGTGTTTTAAAGTTTTAACTAACTTGACGAATTTATTTTAAACGGCAACTCATCGGCAGGAAACGTCTGTGTGTCATATTCCAACCTGACCTCACTAGTGCGATAATTTTTGTTATCAACTTGCGCAAAAACAAATTTCAGTGACCAGTCGCTGAAGAATGTTAATTTAATGAACTGAGCAGATGAGTTAGCCGGGCCGCAATCACCAGACACCTCATCAATTTTTTGTACTGGAGCCTCTTTGGTTTTGTTTACCTGTAACGTTTAATTACATAAACCACATTTAGCGTACAATCAATTAACATCCTATTCCCTGTCAGATTAATAACATTTATAAAATGTGTATTTATTCATTAGCACAACAAATTATCTTTAAAAAATTCACTAACGATTTTATCGTACAAAACGATCGTAACATCAGCAGACATCAAAATGCAAACTTCCTTGGAATTGTTTACATGGTACACAACACTTGGTGGTTTGGCAGTGGTTGTTGGGGGCTGGAAAGTAGAAGTAGTTTGGTTGGATGAGGTTGTGGTGGTGGTTGGCTCATGAGTAGTAGCAGAAGTTGTCATCTCTCCAGGGGGTACTAAAGTTACCTTTGCTTCCAAAATTACAACTACAAATATTATTATAAAATTCATTTTCTTTGACATCGAACAAACACATTTTTTTATTAAGCATTTGTAATATATTTGTTAATCTTCGTAGCAAAAAAGTCTTTAAACTAAAATTTAAAAAATGAATGATTACATAATGTAAGAGAATTAATTTAATTACCACTCAGTTGTTAGAACTTGAATTCTAACAAATAAACATACTCTCTCTTAATCTCTTAAAATGTTTGACTTTGAAATCTCTTTTCATGAAATGTTTCTGAAGCAGACTCAAATGATTTCAGATTTCTATCCATACCTCCTTACAAAATAACTAATAAACAGCTTTTCTATCAAATTCTATCGTCATTAGAACATCTACGAAAGCCTCTAGGAGCTCATCTTCTTAAAAATTTGACTGTATTGTAAATATATAATTCAAAACAGAAGTTTGGTTATCTGTGACTAAATTTTTTGATTAAATTTAGAATTAATAACATCACCACCATTTAAAAACCCTTCCAAATTAATCACAAAGCTATGGTTGGTATAACTTAGACATAAATTATTTGAAACAATAATGACATAGAAAATTTTTAATAAGAGTTCTTTAAATATAGGGTAAAATTTAACAAGCCCAAGATGATTATTTATTTGAAACTGTCTTTATTTAGAAAAGTAATAAAACATTGAGCATATTACTAAATAGAAAAAACCATGATATCACAATTTACTAATTCCATTTTCAACAAGCACATAGTTTTACAATGTATTATGAAACTTGTCATTCAGTGGTACAAAAACATTATAGATAGATTATTTCAGATTGACACCACCTCACTTTTTCCAAATAAATTAAAATTTAAACTTAAACCTAGCCTATTATCATTAAAAAACACATTTTCTGTTTCAAATTCACATCACTTTGTAGCTTAACAATTAACAACATTCTCACTCTTAGAACATTACAAATAGAAATGTTGATGAAATGATATTTTCTATTGCGAGTCTCAGTATTGTAAATAAAAAACAAATTTCTTAGGCTGAATCAAAATCTAAGTGATATATATATATATATTATATTAAATATTTGCACATGTAAAAATGCTACTCTTGATTTTTGTTCCTTGTTGTCTTGCCTTTCTTGTTCATAAAAATAGTTATATTATATATATAATATTACTAAAGCAAAACGGGAGGGTAGAGTCTAGAGTGAGAATACCAAGAAATGCATCCTTATCTTTTCGATGGATAGAGCAAGAGACAGATTCTATCTCTCTCTTACTACTCCATTTCCTCTTCCACCCTCTAGCTTTGGTTCACAATCATAAAATTCAAGAAGTTGACACAAACGTAAATAAAAAGACCAAAATTGGGTGTGCCAACCTAAAGATAGAAGGACGAAGGCCAGCATGTTATTTGTTATCGTCATCATCGCCATCACCGGAGCCTGAACTCAGAATTATGAAAAAACAGCAACCACAAACAATTGTCACATGAAACTGAGAATGAAAACTGAACTTAAAACCAACGAAAGTCAAAATTCCAAAGAAATGGCAATGAAATTTCAAGGAACTTTAACATTAAGGTCAAATTATTGATCTAACTGATAATATAATAATCTTAGCATAGATTACTTTGAAAAAACTTAGAAAATTTTTTGAATTATTTAAAAACTGGGCAACATGGAGTTTTAGCAGGGTACGGAGTCGAACTAAAATTTTTCCGACTTCGACATTGATAACCATAGAAAATTTTCCAACTCTGACCCAATGCACAATGGATTTTTGGCTGCTTTAATTCTGAAAATTGATCAGCCACTGGCTTTATACAAAATATTGTTGTTTTTTTAGTACCCTAGAGACTATGACAGATAATGGCCAAGTCATCCGCAAACTGAAACCAAGATTTATTCTTTAGTTCAGAGAAGTGGCACATTCTTAACAGCAGAAAAACTGGTGCTGTTTCACAGTGCTTGCAGTGACCGGATTCAAATATGACGAAAGGGTCTCCGCCTATCAAATGTTTCTTGTGGGATGCGTTGTCTAGCATGTGTTCATTCATGTACGCTGGTTGTGTGTTGTTGGTTCCTCTGAACCTAGAATAAGTGTGATAAACCTTTAGCCTTTTTCTTAACTTTTTTGGATTAAATATTTTAAATATTGGTATAGTAGTAGAGAGCATGAGTCACTTTGGAAGAAATATTTTTCAACTGGCAAAGTTGGCGTCCATTCATTTTTAATTGGTAATGTTGCTGAATAGTCAGAGTGATTTATGTATTGTCAGGGAAGATTGGTGTAATTGAAAATATGAGCGTTGAAGAATTCAATCAGAAAAATCATACCATTTACTTCATTGAATTCAATCAACCGGCGGTGTATTAATGATGGATTCCGATAACTTAATGGCACACATGCATGATATGCTTATTGCCCGTTAGCAGCGGTATGCTTAAATATGCCAATCGTTATGTTATTATAGTTATGTGATGTCAATGGTCAGTTTTGAAATTTGAATTTAAAAAATTGTGGCCTTCCATAGATTATTATTTTTGTAAATTACATTAAGCGCTATTTACAAATTCTTAAAACTATCAAAATCGTTCTAAGCTTCGAGCTTTAAGTTAAGTGAACAGAATTTTTAAAAAATCCATTTGGGTGTTGTATAAATAAATAAAATAATATTCGTATCAACAGTTGGACAGGCGAATCGTTACCTCGAAAATTGGAGAACATTCCCTTTTCAAATCAAAATAAAATAAAATGGTATGCATCAGGATCAGATCTTTCATCTTATCTTTATTTATTATATTTTATTTTATCGTCTATGATAATTAAATAAAATAAATGAAACTATCAAACTATGATTTTGATTTGGTTGAATTGAAAGTCAAGTCATGTCTCATGTCTGTCAAATCCTGGTTCATGCAAGCAATAGAAACATGCCATTGGCAAGCAATAGCAACATGCCATTGGAAAGCAATAGCATAAATAAAATGAAATAATGAAACTTGAATTTTTAAAACTAAATTATTACATATGAAATATGCATTATATGTGGTAATGTAAAGAAAGGGATAAACAAAATAAAGGCTAAAAAAATCTTTAAAAATTAAAACGTAATGTCTGCTATGAACTTCTTTTTATAAAGTTTTTATTATATAAATCTAGCAAATGGGAAGCTTTGCCAGTTGTTTCCCTAACTTGAAGAGTGGGACAGGAAGTGGTTTTCAATATGTACTGTTTGATTTGTGACTTAATTTTTTTATTAGAAGTACCAAAGTAAATTATTGTATTGACTTTGTAAGTATTAATAAGGGATTGATCTATCCATTCTTGTTGAAGTTTAGAGGCAAAAATGTTTTAAGTAATATTCAACATCAGAAATGATCTGCTTGTCTTGTGTAACATGCTTTTCAGTGATTACTTCCTTTGCCACTTAAACAAAAATCTTAATGAACAATGAAAGAAGAATGATCTTACGTGATTAAAATTTAGAAAACAACAAATTTCTAATTGTCTAAGTCAAATCTTTTAAAAAAATTTTTGACAAATGTTTTTTTCTTTTAGTAAATGCGTATTTTATAAATTTAATACTTTTTTCAAAATTTAGTCATTGGTTAAATGTTTTTCTGGCCAGTTTTATTTTATTGTCAAATAAGTCAATTAAATAGATAATTATTGGATAATAATTAATGGGTCATTATTTTCGTGTCTGACAGTTTCATAATATTTTTTGGGTTTAAAATTGACTCAAATTACGTTTTAAAATAAATATCTATATTTTTATTTTTTAACCAGGAGCTCAACGACAACTTTGCCAACGAAGGTTCCTCGTCAATTTTTAAAGATTCTGAGAGGGTTATTAAGCTGCTTAGAACTTCAACGAGTAAAAAGCAAACAGTAAATTTCTAACTTGATTTTTTTTTATAATTTTACTTATTGACTGTTTATTTAAACTTACTTGTTAACTAGATGTTTTAACTTCAGAAATGATTACTCTTCACTAATGCAACTATAGTTGCATTTGAAAGTTTCTATATGCCATATGGATATCAAATTCTATCTATTTAATTAACATTTCCCATTTCTATTACAAATTAGTTTGGGTTTTATTTACAAATTTTAAGCTTGTTTTGTACCTAGAAGTGCTTAGATGAACGAGATGTGGTTAGTATAAAGGGAATATGAGAGTAACTTTAACATTTTTTTTGCAGCAATAAAATTAAATGTCACATGGAGTAACAACTCTGGTGAATGCAGACATAGTAACTCTAGCACTGACGTAAAACTGATTAATTAAATTAGATATTCTTGTTGAAATGAATTTGATGAGATGTTTAAACACATGGTCACAATATGTTTATATGTTTATATAAAGTATATATATATATAAAAATATATATTTTATATTTTCATTTATATTTATTTTTTTGTAATTACATATATAAAAATGACTTATATTAATACTGTAATCTAGGCATTGTGTTTGGAGACCAAGTTAAAAAGTAATACAGAAGAATTGTTCAGCTTATTTGGTAATGTATATTTTTTTATGATTCAGTTAATTATTTTTTCATTATTATTACTTATTTTTATTTATTATGTTTATGTTTACAAATTCAGTTTTTTGTTGGGTTTTTTATACTTGTAAATTTTTTTTACAGAAGATACAAATCAGATGAAAACCTTATTAGAACATATCACGGAACTCGTTAGGATTAAAAATGCTCTGCAACCACATTTACAAAAGAAGTCTGGTGGACTAAAGATTAATTTTTCTAGTCAAAAGTAAATGATTCAACTCTATTGTACACACGCACATTTTGTATATATATATATATATATATATATATATATTATGAAAATATATAATTTTATACAATTTCATATTTCATTTCATCCCCCTATTATGTTTAAATTAACAACTCATTAATTATATTATTATTAATATGATGTTCGTAATGTAGGTAAGAAAGATAAAAGAATATCAGCATTTTTTTTACTGCAATATGGTTTACGGTTTACTAATGATTGTTCTGATTAAGTTGCTCAAAATTGCTTATACATTAAGGTGGCCTTCCAACATAAGATATGCTGGTGGCACTGTAAACCCTGCTTGCAAAATCTAGGTTTTAATATAAGTGGTTGGATAACTAATGAAAAAAAACACATTCAGATTCAAATACCATAGTATGAGTTTTCAGTTCAGAGATTGAAAAACACGTTTTGGCAGCATGACCGCCGATAATCTTGACCCAGATTTTTATCCCACATAATAGGTTAGAAATAGCTCGTAAAGCGATAAGAGTTTCTTCAATTATAACCTTAATCTCAAACTAAGGAAGGAAAGAATTTAACGCTATCAATGGCGTTGAATAATTAGAAATCATGAATAGTCTAGACTCACATTCCAAATATTGGAATTATTGACGAGTGCTTATAATATTTTGGACAAACACAACGGTGCAACATCTAGGTTATGAAGAGCTAAACTTTGCAGATGATAATAATACAAAATCGCAAGACCCATGTTTATGTTTTATAAAATTAAAAATATTCACCTTTCTATTTCATCATCCAAAGGGAAGAGGGGAAGTCGAGTTGAAGCGATGTCGGCGGAAGACGAACGTCACGGTTTTGAGACGTACAATATTAAATGAAAATTTATTGTGGAAGAGCTGATTCATGTGAGATGTGACCCATAGAGTTAAAGAAAATTGAAAGTAATTGAAATGCTCAATAAAACTCAAAAACCCAATTAAAATATTGCATTTTTGAATGGCGTAATGGTTAAAAGCGCCAGGTTCTCCGTTTTGCAATGACTGAGTTCGATTGCGAAAAAGACTTCCTTGTGTGATTCGTGGATTCACATATTCACGTGAGCTATGCGAGTGTTGCTGATAGCGCTAAATATTACATGAGAGAATTTAAAGAAAATTTTGCAAAAATTCTTTCCTTAGACCAGGAGACCTGGTTGGGCAGTTATGAAAAATTATTATTAACTAAATATTACGTAAATTATATATAATAGTACAAGTTAACACTATTTTTCGTATTTTTGCTTTTTTATCTATTTTTTTAATTTCTTGGCGGACAGATTTTATAATAGGACGTGCTTATCTTGAATTATTTGAATTATCTTTCGTTATATCTTCCTATTTTCGAAATGTTAGATAGACTGACTTGATGTCACAGATTTCATTATCAGTAAAGTAGTTTATATTGTACGATGTACTTGTACAATGGCATAGAAACGCCCTGTATTCATATTTTCAAACCTTTCTTGGGTTAAGAGCAACACTGGCCTGTATTGATGTAAAAACTTTGCTTTTATATATCACAGTTCATTTGCATACATTTTTAGATCAAATGACTGCAGTGCTAGTACAGTGAAGTTTTTGCAAGTTTTACATAAGAGTTAAGTCCTTTATATACGTGCATAAAAACTTTACTAATTGGAATATTATTTTCAACATCGGTATTTTGATTTGACCAAACTCTCTTAATCTTTGGCTAAAACAGTAATACACAAATTTAATATTGGATGCATTTGTTTTGTTTTTTAGGTACATGAGCGACATAATTTCCAACTTGAATGCGTTTTTCAACCAAGAGCTTGTACGTTATATGGATTTACTATGGTTTCAAGAAGTAGATTCGAGGATTAACAAATTGGTATGAGTACTAATGTCTTTCATTTGAATCATTTTATTTGCGCTTTTTGAATGATTTCACTGTACAACGTTGTGCAAACTTTCGTTTTGCAAGTGCCACATTAATGTTATCATTCAATTATACTTTAAAAAAAGTGGTGTCGGCAGCAGTCGTTGTAAAGCTGCATTGTATGATTTGGCGGTAAGCAGAGAAAATGGCGAAAATTGTATTGGCGCTGGAAGTGGTAGTAATATCGGTAGTACCGGAAATTTTCATAATTGTATTACCGTAAATCTTTGTGTGTAAATCCAACTTTTCACAAAAGCTTTTCTATAAGACATCTCAAGAAAAGGTCAACTGTCGTTATTGATACTGCATGCTAGTTTGAATTGTATAGCACCGTTTAAATATTTTTCTAAAAAGTGCATCGTCATAATGGCATTTTGGTACATAATAGTGTAAATTTCCATTATTAACAATATCTTTGTAACAACAATAATAAACAGAGCACCGCAACAGTCGAATTGTCCAAAGAAACGACTGTAAACGACGAACTTCATCAGAAATTGAAGACAACGATCAACCTACTCGGCTAATATTCTATCCTTAACAACACAAATTACATCCTAGATAATTTTTTAACAATGATATATAAAAAATGTTTCTTTAAATATTTTACTGATGTTTAAAAGATACTGCAATGTTGAAAGAAATTAAATCACAAATAACATTACAAAGTCCAGTCTGCAGAATTACAAATCGCAGCACATTTTACGACGACTACGCTTATAATTTAGATAAAAATTAATGTTTCCGAATGATTAGTCGATAGACATTCTTATGATAAATTAAAAATTCGTACGTAAACTATGAGCAGTCAACCAAAGCGGCTTAGTGTGAATGTTAGCTAGGCGTCGTTAGTTTCTTGGCTATCGTTACAATCGTTTGTCTTTTCATCTTCGCTGGCATTTATTTTGCATCCGTCTATTTCAGGATTGTACTCTAAAGATGGATTATGAATAACCTGCATTTTCATGATTAATTGTTGTAGCTGACTTCTTTTTTTGCATACAATGGTTTCGTCGAACCACTTGGCCAACTTGATGGGGAATGTATAATTTTCAATTGGGTTCTGTAATTAATAAAATTTTATTAAGTCATCCTATTCGTTCATTATTTTAAATTTTTCTTAACAAAACTATGCTATAATTTCCGATTTTAAATTGATTTTGATATTAAATTGTAAATGCAACAACCAACTAGAAATTTTAAAATGGTACAGTTTAACAATGTTTAAGAGGATCCCAGCTAATAAAATTCTGCAGCTTCCAATTTGAACGCATGCTTTCTAATGTTTTTCAATTTTGTTCAATTTCAGTATTTCTTGTAAGTTTTCGTTAATGCAAACGATTATAAATCAGTAGTGCAAATTGGAAATAGTCAAATTGTTTCTTGACAGTGTAATATTGTTCAATGTTGAATGATATTACAGGATAATTTAGTTGTTTATTAATTTAATAATAAATTTTGATATCATTCAACATTGAATATTACAGCCTTAATGCAATGATTTGCATAATATTCAGCCTGAAAACATTTCAAGCATCAGTTTGGCCATAAAGCATCTTCAAATACAAGAACATTGAAAACTGGTCGAAAGATAGTAAAGAAATCATTTTGAAAATGTCGAGGATGCAATATCCGAGTATTCAAAATGTTTTTTTACGCTGACAGTTTCTTCCTTCACTCATAATTAAATTAATAAATATATATAGGCAAAACTCGAAGTTCTTAAAAATTTCTGAAAAATAATTTAAAATTCATGAAATCCAATGAAGCGCTATAATTTTTAGTTTGCAAAAATCAACGTTTAGATGCACAGGTTTCTCAAATGAATAAATTGAAAATTGACCAACCGTGAAAAAACTTTGAACATATTGTAGGATGTATATACCGCAATCGCTGTAATTTGTCTGCTGCGGACACTCTGGGAAACCTCCTCTCATGGTATCTTTGTTGAATATGCGGCTGCCATGCTCTGCCCTCATTTTCATGTCCCACTCTACTTGTAAATATCTTTACAAAAATTATGGAATTATTAGAGTAAAAATATCTGTGTTGAAAAACAAAAATATTACATACTCTCTCAGAAGCTTTATTACAGAACCAGAGTTTCGAACAGGACCGACCAATGAATCAAATATAAGGATGCATGGCCTGCAAAAAGAAAAAAAAATTATCCCACGCGTTTATTTTCATCAGTTCACACAATAATCTTGAATGGAACAAAGAAACCATAGTCACAGTAATGAAATATTCATCAAGTGACACGATTAAATAGTGAACGATAAAATAGCGCAAAATTTGGAGACGGAATAGTATTACTCCATCTTTCAAAATCTGCATATAAACAAGTAAACGAAAGAACCAAAAAGTTGCTTAGATGCTAATTTCAATCAATCAATCTTCGTTTTGCGTCCAGAGACCCGGTTTCCCGAGGTAGGACGTAGATATTAATGAATTAATTAATTAATTAATTAGATACTAATTTAAAGAGCCTTACATTTTCTTAACGATAATATTCTGGTTGTTCACGGCAGGTAGTTTGCTTTTGCGACCACGAGCTTTCGTTGTTTTCTGTTTAAATCAATTAATCGGATAAACAAAACGCATTTTAAATCTGAATAGTTGTGTAATAACTAGTAGAGCTTATCAAATAACGAATAACCGGCTGGTTAATCAACCGACTGACTGACCAACCAACCAGCCAAACGATCGACTGATTTAACAAACCAATCCAATTCAATTCAATCAATCAATCACTATAATAAATCGTCAACAACTTTCATTCAAACAATTTACGTCTGTGTAAAATAAATTAAAAATTTGATATTTTAACTGTATTTATTTATATAAATACTTCTGTAAAGAATAAATTAAAAGTACGACGTTTTGATGGAAGAAAATGTTAACCTCGCATAAACTAGGGGTGGGCGGCTCGTTACTTTTGATGATTTCGATGTTGTTGCAGCCAGGGAAGCAAATGATGGCCAGAAACCAGTGGGCACTGTCAGCATCAATTAAAACGTTTACCCAATTTCAATAATGATAATTCACCCGCACAAAAAATTTTAAAGCTTCTATTTGTTACTGCAACGACGCAGGAGTTATAACACTAATTTGAAAATTCAAAATTATTTTTTACTAATTCTTCCAGCATTATATGATAACAGCATAGCAAAAAGTTTGACAAAGCACCCACGTAGTCGCTTAACAAAGTCTAAATAACTGCAATTTAAATTTTTTTAACATGAGTTACTTTTATTATTTTCAAATTTGAAACTAAAGAACTTGTAAATAGATGTGAGCTGAAGCAAAAGTGTTTAATTATGAAAGCTGTGGTAGAGAACTAGCAAGCAGTAAGTTAAATGTGAAACCATGAAAAGTGCCAACCTCTCATTGACGGGAACGACAACAAAATCTTTGGAGAACAAGTCAACATGTCGGGTCCATGTCCTGACGTGTGCGTGTCGTCTCTGTTGGATGCTAGCGTTAAGATGTGCGATGGATGAGAAGTTTGAACGTTGAGACGTTTGAACACAATAAGCTCACTATATATAACATCATCGAATATATATACAAATATATTAAAAATGTTATTCTTTATAGCGTTTTGTAAGCAGCAACGTTCAAAAGTATCAAAAGAATAAGTTTTAAAACAAAGTGCTTGCCTAAGCCCTTTATTATAATAAAATAATTATATATAATTTTAGATTTAGGCAATTAATCGCAAGTTATTTGATAAAAAATTAGGTGCAAATTAGGCGAAAGATGCCAAAAAGATAATTGCCACTTGCTACGGTGTATTTAACTATATAAATGAAAAAGACTTACACTCTGAGGAAGTTTGAATGAGGGTAATGCGATGACATCATGAGATTGAATGGTAAGAATATATATAATAGTTTTTTAAAGTTCAAATACAGCGCGTCTTTTTCTGACAGAAATAAAAAATAGAAGGCAAACGCTTGAAAAGCTGCTTCTGGGTTGCGAATAAGGGCCGTCAATTATAATTAGCTACAAGAACAATGAAGAGGATCAAATAGATGGCAAAAAATGGTTCGATTTGTTCACGTGAACCTGCACACACGAAAGAATTCATTGAAAATATGCAAACTTCATGTTGGCGAACTGGTCGTCATCAAACTTCTTCAGGATCTTTTGCGTGAGACGTCGATAAAAAAATGATGAAAAGATGTGGGCGTTTTGAAATTTTTCAGGATACATTTCCGTCGCTAGGTACCTGTTCATTGAATACAAGTTTATAAGACTCCCTAAGGATTCTCACTGAATAATCAACATTTTTAAAAATTACAACAAAGAATATTTGACTGAATAAAGTCGCAAATTTCTAAATATAAAAATAATGATTCCTATTTTTTATATTATTACGTCGATAATGAAGTATATTACAAATGAAGCGTTTAAAGTTATAAAGATAACGCATACAGAGCGTAAATGATTGATCGACAGAATCTCACTTGAGATAAAAGTCAATAATGACGTCATTGAGGAATTCCCCCTCATTAAGACAAAACAAATCCTCGTTGGTAACTGTGATGCCCCCAGTAGCCGGAGCCGGTGGGTACGTGAAGAGGTTGATGATCTTGTTGACAAAACTGTTCATCAAACGTTCATTCAAAGGGTTTTCTGAATAACGTTCATCCTCCTCAGCCTCATCCTTTTTCGATTTCATTGTCAGAACGATATCTTTGTCCAAACAAGGATTGCCACATTGTTCCACGGATTTCAAGAAAGCAGGTTCATCAAAATTTTCTATCGTTTTATAAGCGGGCTGTAAGTTCTCATTGCTTCCATTATCATTGTTACTCAGGTTATTGTACAACTGCATCGATTCAACCACTTTTGGAATAACTTCTTGCAAATTCATCTGATCGTCATCGAGGAAGAGAACGATGTATTTAACGCAGTCATCTGAATCACATAACAATTTTGTGAGAAAATATTTAGAGAATAAATGATACTCCTTTACTGTTAAATTCCGTAGTTAAAAAATAAAGGTAATATTAACGCGTGGTTTTATAACTTTCCGTATTTGTACAGAAACAAAGCTTAAACTATTTGATAAAAAACGTAATAATTTCATGAAAAAATTAAAACTATTTCGAATTACATAGAGAGAAATGAGAACAATATATCTACATGAATTACACATGACTGTGCATATATTATACATGATCCACTGACTGAGAACATTTCAAAATACAAACCTTTGGAAAGTGGATTGTAGAGTAGTTCAGCGTTTGGAAAGAGTTTACTAAACAGCTTGATTGCTGACGTGTGGTTGGCTTGCAGAAATAGGTGGGTGCATTTGTCTGTATTATCAAAATATGTGGCCACCAACGTGACGTCGGGGGCATAAGTTGTCAAGCAGAACAATGGTTCTAGAAGTGAAATAAAAGATTAATTTAATTATAAATCTTAAATTTCGTAATTATCTAAAAAATAAAGCTTGATATTATAACTTTGCCTTCTTTCACGAGCTAAATATGAAGACCAGGGTGTCTGACCTTTCAAACGATGGCTTTTTAAAAATCTAAAGATTGCATTCACAGGACTCAACTGTTATGACTCAACGTCGAATATAAAACGTAAGAAATCATAACAGATCACACCTTAATTAAAAACATCTAAATTTTCATTTGATAACCTTTCAACAATCAACAAAACAGTCGTCGATATTAAAAATATTTTTTTTTACGTTACTAATGCTTAAGATTACAAACTAGGTAACAATTTAATGAGACTTATTAATATCAATAAATAGAAGAATGAAAACGTTTGATCGATATTGACTGAAAGAAATAATTACATTGGATTGGTTGCAACGTGGTGCAATAAAGTTTAGTACTTTCTCGCTAATCACAATCATGCATGCACCTCTGGTCTATCTGCTCAGCAGAAATAACAACAGCAGCCCCATCAACAAAATAATCATAAAAACAACACGATATAGTAATATATATGTCGTACTTCGATTTCGATATTATTATAAAACCATTTTATACTCAAGAACTAACCGTTTACAGAAGTGCAAATAAAATTCACACTTTTCCTATCAAATGTGAACAAATTGAGCCAATTGCAGCAAATCTTTCCAAAGTAAACCATCCTCACTTTCAAGCGGAACCCAGAAAATGGCATTAGCGCAAATGTGGCAGGTTTTTGTGACTCTTGTATTACCTTTATGGATTAAAAATAAAATTGAATGAATAAATAAAAAAGACCATTTATATTAATAATTTCAAATTTTCTTTCAAATTAAATGACATATTTATGTACGTAAATCTCCGTTTTTAAAAAAAGGTTTAATTCTATCTGACATCAAAAAGGTAGTTTGTAGTCTAGCATTACAGCAAATAAAAAATTACGCGCGCATGTAATGGACAGAGGCCATGTCTCCATCAGCAAACTATCCAGAAGAGCAGATAAATAAATAAATAAAACAAAACAAATGGTACATGTACATAGTTATAGGCATATTTATAAATGACACCTGTCTATCGTTAGTGGCGACATTAGAGTTGCTTGTTGCTTCGTTCGGTTGATTACCTTCATCATCAGATGAGAGAATATGGACGACCTCTGAATGATTTCAATGAGAATATAAACGCTCTTTTAAATACTATTGGAACAAGGTGAAAAAAATGTGATAATTGAAAAACGTACACTTTAGGCATAATAGAATAACGCCAAAAAGTTACATTTAATCTTACGACGAGATGAAATGTAAAGATGTTCAGTAGCATAGCAAACCAACCTGCCTCCCTTTTAGGTACAATATTCACATATTTCTTTACATTTTTGCAAAATCTTTTAGTCCTGCCACCGGAATTTAAACTGGAATTATTCGAAGCAGTTCTTTTGTTGGATTGTTTGTTAGTATTTTTGCTATTAACAGTGCCACTATTGAAGACATAAGAGTTGGCAACCCCGTTGTAAAGGCTGCTTTTATCAGGCAGAGTAGCGCAGTTGTTGTTTTCAGAAAGCGTGCTAGCATTTGACGATTTAGATTTGTTTTTCATATCCGGAAAAAAGAAATCAACATTGGCGGGCAGAGCATGGTTGCAGTTGATGCACTTTGTGAAGTTAGAACTGGCTCCGCCACATCTTCGACAGATTGCAAACTTCACTTCATCAGTCTGATGATAAACAGAACAAAAAACAAAAAATTACAATCAATTCATGCATGCCAATAAAATTACATAGTCATATACAGTTTATTTCACAAAATTTCCTCAAGATATAAAAAATCTTACTTGATTGCAATGAAAATTTTTCAATGCAAATTTATAAATAGTCTTGTTTCTTTCAGTTGAACCGTCTTTACAAAAACAAATCTTAATTTTCTTCACATTTTATCACCGCATTTAAACACACCAAGGATCTGTCCATCGACCTTCTTTAACCATCACTTTTGATGCCTCCACTCATGAAACTCACCATAACTCTACAAACACCCCAACTTATCAGCCGGGACATGACTTTTTAATGAAGAATATGATACCATAACATTACCATAGTTAGCATGAAATATTTTACACTGTAAGTCGTGCCAGGAATATTCTGGCAGAGTCTATTCTTTGCAAGGAGTGTTAACCATGACAGAAAATGATGACAGTGTCAAGGAGGCTGATATTTTTATCAGTCCACCTTCTGATGGTATAAATTCTGATGAAGAGAAATGAAGATATTGTACAGGATCAAGGTGATCAGTTGATGCTTTTCCAGTGACAATTAAAGTTCTTTATAAAAACAGAAGACTGTAGAGGAAAGTTGCATATAAAGGAAGTCAATTAGATTTGCGTTTAAACAATGGGCCATTGCAACTTTTTTAGGATATGCAGCATATTTGGATCTTTACCAGGAATCTAAATCACTAAGCCTGGAATTTTCCGTAGTGACAAATATAGTTGAGAAACTTTCAGCAGATATTCATTACCATATTTTCTTTGACAATTTTTTACAGGTCTATAAAACACGGAGGTCATTCAAAATGGTCACCATCTATAAACAATGCTTGAACAAAGAAGATTGTGGTCATTGTAGCAAAAAAGCAAATTGATTTTTTTGGCATGCGATGTACCACTGCACATTGCATGCTTTCAAAGATTTCATGAATAATTTTTTTTGATATTTTATTATGACTAATAAATTTTTCATCTTTTATTTTAAATTTTCAGTTTTATTTTTGATTAAATTGTTAAAAGTTCAAGAAAACCATATAAATTTATTGCAATAGGTGCTGCATCTCATGGTGTCATATATTGCTGGTGTCCTTAATAAAAACGTTTTAATTTTTTTTAAATTAAACTTTTGAAAAAATAAAAATTGTGTTTGTTTTTTCATCAGTATCTAAAACATGAGAAATTTGGAAAAAATAAAACCTCAGCAGAAAATTGGTTAAGAGAGACCTAAGATTACCACGGAAGCGAAAACTCATGATGGCAATATATTTGTATAAGCATTCTAAGAATTTATTTTATATTTAATTGAAGGTAATAAATTTATTTACCTGTTCCTTGTGAAGAGTCTGCTGGTTTTCACTTGACAGGAAATCTATAAATTTCGAATTGCTGTTATTTATCAACTGTAAAAAACAGAAAGCTGTTTACAAATGGTTCGTTTCTAAGTTACAAATTAAACATTTGAACCACTGTAGATGTTAATCCGCAGAACACAACTTACAAATGTATTAGTTTATATTGTACGCACTAGCAATGAATCAAATTTTGCACGGACAGCATCTACATCAGGCAAGGGCTAAAACAATGCCAGATTTCTACCGTTTGAGCTGGCTGCATCAACTCACAATCATTATCAAATAGCGAAGAAGTTACTTTCAAATAACAATGTATTGTAATTGAAATGCTCAATCAAATCCAAAAAAACCCAATTAAAATATTGCATTTTTGAATGGCGTAATGGTTAAAAGCGCCAGGTTTTCCGTTTTGCAATGACTGAGTTCGTGTGATGTGTGGATTCACATATTCGCGTGCGCCATGCGAGTGTTGCTGATAGCGCTAAATATTACATAAGAGAATTTATCTTTAACCTTCTAAATAAAATAGGTTCACGCAGTGTAATTAAGAATGGGATTTTAAAGCATATGTGATTGCAGTAGTATAAATATTTAAAAAATGAATACATTTGGAAGACTATTTGTGGAGTTAGATGGTCAACAGTTCGTAAAATTTCAATGAGGTCAAATGAAAATAAACAAAAAAAAAGCCTACTAGTGGTATCCGAATTCTTCAACGTCTGAGATCTGTGTAAAGTTTTATTATCATATATAACTTTTTAATAATGAAAAATATAACGTAACAATTGTTCATCTAAGAAATATATGATTTCAGTTCAAAGTTCAATAATGAAAGAAGTAATGAGCGTCAACGTTTAAAAAATAGGATGACCCATTGAAATGACTTGAAGCAGTTCAATGTAGGTAAGAGGTTTGAATTGGAAAAACAAAACAATCTAATAAATTTTAATGACAACGAACAAATAAGCCGAAAATCAATTAAAATATTGAAAAGCATACTACAACAATCAATTCTCAATTGAGTGATAACATGT